TGTTTATTAAATATACTGACTTTTTTTTACCTTATCATGGTGGCCTTAAATTCCTGGGATCTTAGTAAATCTGTGTTTGTGTCTGTGTGTGAAGAGTACATGTTTACCTCTTCAGGGTGACTGACACTGGGGTAGAAAACCTTTTAAACCTAAGCACACTCACAAACACACACTGCTTATCAGAAGAATTTCACTGAGATTTCAGAATGAATTTTTTTATCCTTGCTGATATTCTCCAGCTTCATACTCCTAAGGTCACCACACTCCTGCTCTGGGTCATAATTTCCGCCTGCTTCTGCTGCTTGGATCTTTGACGGGTATCACACCCACAGCCAATTAAGCAGACTATGGAAAATATTTACAATTATGTAATTATTTAGAAGAAAAAATAAGAAATTATAGATTTCCTGCAACTTTCTCACTCGCACTCATACACTGAAAAGACTTCATAGAATCAATCCATGTTTTTCCATGTACAGTTTTACGTGATTATGCTAAATAAACTAAAAATATATAGGAGAAAGAAAAGGTGCTCAGCAATTAGTAAGGGCCTTAAATAGTGTATTTTAAAGGCTATTAAATACCTATAAATGTATATATAAAATGTTGTGTACATTAATAAACATACATTTTTGCATATAAATAAATAAATAACCCATATGCAAATTTGATATTAATTTACAGTATATGAACAAAAGATTTAGCCATTACCCTAATTCAATCTGCATGTCAAAACCTTAACTTGCATTCTGGCGGCTTGCATTCTGTGTGCACATCTGTTTGCATTTTGACATCAAAACTGGAGAAAACTGACAGTTTCAAAATCTTATATAAATGGGGCTTTCTTGTGTCACCTAGCTTTCATAAGCTGATTTATCGGCATTATATTTTGCATGTAAACACACTCTATGACATTTCAAATTACACTGAGTTCACAAAGAAAGGGGGAATAAAAAAAGAATGTTTGTAATGGAGAACTGAAACACTGATTTGTCCAAACTGTTTTGCAATGACAGTGACACATTAAGTTCTTTAGAAGTGGCAACAACAACCTTGTAAGAAATGATTAAAAAATAAATGTGTTAAATAAACATACTTATACTTTAGATGACAAAGTATTTTTCACAAATAAATAAATATTTAATAAAAATATAATTAAAAAGGAAGTAAACACTGTAACCAACAGGGCACTCAGTATTCTGTTAAGTTTGTGTGCATTAATCATATTTTTTCAAATAAAGTCAAGGTAACACTCATTTTACATACAGCACACAGTGAAAGTGACATGAATATGACAGTGGGCAAAAGCATAAAGCGTAGCATAATTTAAAATCACAAGTTTAAAGTTTGTCGATCGCCAGTGAAGCTGAACTCTCCTCCTGTCAGCATTCAATTCACACGGATCGACCGTCACGCAGAGTACACGCGATCATGCAGGATACACATGCACACTTCACAACTCATGCAGGATCTCACAACTGGATCTGACTAAGTTTGCAAGGTTTTTGAAATTAGATGTTTATTAGACTTTATAAGATTTATAAGATTTGTTTAAATGATATAAATGCGTATTTGCTGAATGCTGACGGCAAACAAGAAAGTATTATAATGTTTGCCTTTCTATTACTAATAATATAAAAGCAATCGTTATAAGACTTTTTGTGTACATTTTAATTCCTTTGTTTAACCGTTCTATCTGATTATTAGACAGACTTCTATCCGTATTTTAGACAGAACTGTTAATGACAACAGCAAACAAGAGGGAGAATGTGAGCACTGTGTGCTCAGGGAGATGCCATTCTCGGCGCCGTCAAAATAAAAGTCCCGCCTCGAATGCATCAGCCAAACAGGAAAACTTATCGGCCGATGCCGATATTTAAAAAAATGCCAAATATCGGCCTTGGCGATATATCGGTCGACCACTACTCTTATCCCATCCTAATCACTGCAGAATGTACAAACACCTGCATGCACGCATGCAATATTACCTTGCTGCAGGGATTTATTTAAATTAAGATAATTAATTACAACCACAACAGAGAAACTGGTGTTGCATCAAAAACATCCATTGAGAAGAACCAGCCTGACCAAGCATGAAGACCGTGTCTGAGCAAGCCCCCTGATATGACTGAAAAAAAAAATTATACTAAATTTTTTTAAGGTAAGTGGTTGCAAACAATTTATTTTAGCTACATTTAATAAAAAAAAAATATGTTGAAAGTTAGAAAACTAAATGTATTTAAATGTAGCTAAAATAAATTAATTGCAACCACTTACCTTAAAAAATGTAGTAAATTCAATTAATATTTTTTTTCAGTGCACCTGTACTTCTGTACTGTAAAATGTTTAAAAAAAGTCAGCCTAAAGGCCCGTTCACACCAAGCACGATAACTATAAAGATAACGACAAAGCTATAGTTCTAAAAATCGTTCTCAATATTAAAGAATAGCATAGTTCACACCACAACTATAACGATAATGATACAGAGGAACGATATTGTTAAGATCACTTTCAAAAGGATTTTTTTCCAGCTGATGAACGATAAAACACTGACAGCCAATCAGAATCCATCCTGCTGTAACGAGCTCAAGAATTTAAAGCGGCAGACGCATGTGCGCTTAGAATAAACAGACGATATCGTTCGCTGGTGTGAATGCTAATGTCGTTATCTTTATAGTTATAGTTCTTGGTGTGAACGGGCCTTAAGGGTAACCTGACCGGAATTACCAGTGTGTGAGGACATGAGAAGAGGGGAGGATCACAGGCTGCTTGAGCAGAAAAGATAAATGAGACACTGTATATGTGTGTGTCTGTGAATGTGTGTCAAAACGCTGGTATGCGCTAGATTTCAGACGGGTGCATTGACGAAACTAATCATTAACACATACGTGACATGCTGTTCTCTCTCTTACTTCGAATCTCCATGTCTTCTACAGAGTCTTTCCAATCAGAACACTATCATGTGTTATGTATAGAACATTGATGTATGACATCCATCCACTTGCAGTCTGTCTAAACCAGTGGTTTTCAACCAGAGAGCCAGGGCCCACTAGGAGCTTCAGCAAACTTACAAGAGGGCCTCAAGATTACTTAAAATTGTTTAAAATAAAGCAAAACAATCATTAAAATGTCAAAACAACTAAAAATCTATATATTTCTTACTGAAAGTACTTCTCATGATCTTGTGTAAATAAGTCAGCATAATTTTAAAAGTTTGATTTAGGGATTTGGAAAAATCATGTACATTCATAAACTTTTATAACTCCATAGGCATTTAAGAATATAAAGACATATTAAAGGAATAGCTTCTACAATATTTTATTGGGTAGAAATTCAAAATCCCTATCCAGTAATTCATGAACGACTTGAAAAATCATGTGGTAATATTGTTGTGAACAATGGTGGGCCTTGGAGTCAAAAAGATTGAGAACCACTGGTCTAGAGCTTTCTTTGAAAGAATAACCAAACATAGACCAAACATGTCAAAGAAATTTAATTTAAACATTTTAAATAGTTTCAAAAAACATGACTGGACTACTAGAGACTTCCAGGCTTCCAGAATTCAGGGTTCATTTTAGGTATTTACTTGATGACACTCTAGAGGTGTGTGTTCATATTCAAGGCCTGTTTTGCAGATGTCATTCTTCCTATACAACAGATAATAGCCCTGAAAAGTACAATGCTTGAGTCATTATCTCCGTTAACTGAGAAACACTCCCCATGACCTCAAGCGTGCACACAAACACAGAAGATCAGATCTCGCGTCGTGTGGGGGGATTAGCAGAGTTCACACATGCTATGTGGCGCCTTGTCTAAAAAGCGTGGTTTCAAAGAAGAAAAGAAAATACCGAATGAATGATACACCCACGGAAAACAAACATCTTGACCGTTCTTCAGAATGAACTCTATATTAATATTTATCCTATTTTAGTTTTTATCCTCTCCTTTCCAGTCCTATTATCCGCTGAACTCCCCTTCCTATCCTCTTCCCTTCCCGTCTGTTCCTTTCCACTCCTTTCCCACCCTATTATCCTCTCCTCTCCCCTCTTATCCTCCCTCTCTTACACCTTTCCGTTCTGAACTTCCCTCTCGTCCTCTTCTCTCGCTCCTATTTTAACACAGTGTAATTTGGATCTGGGGCAAAAGCCCTGCGGTACCTGAAATAAGGCCACTCTCCAGGAGACCAGCACAGGTCTCTGTGTCTCTCTCTCTCATGCACAGGCATAAAAATAAATCATTGTAGGCCTATTTTCTCAACTGCACCATCTTTGGTGCAGAGAGAGAGAGAGACAAGAGAAACGTTGATTATTTCTGCAACTAAATTCATTAGCATCTGCGAAGGACATATTTAAGGTTGGAAATGTCCTGGCCTTTTTACAAGGCCAATTTTTTTCTCCACTACATTATGACACAGTTGTAAATGTTGAAGTGTCGTTACTTTAAATGTCACGCATTTGCGCATTTGTTTGAGAACTTGAACAAGTCAGCAAGACAATATAAGCCAAGTTCGATATCAATTTAATGTGCTGTTGAAGTGATTTCAGTACATTTCTAATGTTTTAACTTGAAAATGAGAAAATACTGTACCACAGTCCTAATCTATCTATCTTCAACTGTTTTGAGAAATCATCTTTGTGAAGTTACTTGTGCATAAGCAGATTAATATTCAAGAGCTAACCAACCATCAATTAGTGATTTCACAACCACCACATCTGTGCACCACCAACTTTTTAAAAATAAGTGACGCCCACGATGATGGGGTTCAGTCTGTAAGGGGAAATGTGACTTCCAATTAGATCCGGATGAGGTCACATGAACTTTTTGAATGTGACATTCAAGGTTGTTGACTGTCTCAGGGGATTTATAAAGTGATTAAAAAAACAAAAGACAAGTTACTTGACATGGTTTAAAGGTTAGCTGAGAGGCTGAGCTACTCCTACAGATACATCTGAGAAAGAAAAGAGAGAGAGAATGAGGTCGCAAAGAACAAACAGTCTTACCTTGCAGCTGTTTGAAACGGCCCTCCAGGATGTTGGAATATTGCACCTGGTTTACAAAGGCAGCTGGCGAGAGACATGGCTCATGTTCGCGCGGATCAAAATCCATGTCTCTTCTCTTTCACTGTAACACTCAATTGCTTTCACTGTGAACCGTCCCTCCAACACGGACTCTCAACTTTCATCCAAAACAAAAAGATCACTCCACAAGAGTAGAGCCAGGACTCATGAGCATGGCATGTAAAATGTAAGGTTGAAAAATAAAAAACAGAAAACAGACCAAGAAAACAAACTGCCAAATGTTTAACTTTCCTCACAAGTTAAAAAAAAGTTGGGTTTAGAAACAGAAACTCTCCAGGTGAGCGCGTGCATCCGAGCGTTTCATCAGCGCATGCTAACCCGCGCCATTCTGCTTCATCTGTTTAAAAAAAAAAACTCTTCCTTTAATTGACTCTCTCTCTCTCTCCTTTTTTTGCCAAAAAAGGAACCCACATGCAGTTGAAGTGAGGAAAAAGGTACAGTAAAAACAAAATGTTCTTTTCTTCTTCAAAAACAATCTTTTCTCAGTGCAAAACTCTTCTTTCTCTCGACTACTCAGATCAGACTGCGTGTGTCTGTGTGCGCACGCACACACACACACCTTGTTTGAGTAAGCTCGCAGAACTAGCTGTGCTCAGCTTCCTAAGTAAACAAAGCCGTCTACTCTCTCTCTCTCTCTCTCTCTCTCTCTCTCTCTCTCTCGGTTTCTGAGCTTTGGCATTTGCATAAGGTGTGTGTGGGAAGAGCAAATCCCAGGCTGAGCGAGCGAGAATGACAGACAGAGGGAGGGTGAGGAGGTATAGGCTGAACCATTTCTGAAGGTGGACAGGGGGTGGAGTAGAGTTCAAGAGATGGATGGTTTCAAAGGAGAGATGGGCGTGTGGGACCAGCCCCTGGAGGTGATCAGATAGTCAGCAGAAATCACGAGTTTGAGCTTATTTTAGGACTACCTGGATTTTTATGTTGGGTAATGTTATGTTTTAGTGATTTTTGTGGGTGTTCAGCAGTTGTTAGACCTTTACCTTTAATTAATCATGTCAAAAAAAAGTCCCTCTCTCGCCTTCTCGAGCAAGTGCACAGATAAAATAAGACGTTAAGACAGGAAGGAAGTACTTGAGAAAGACTCAACAAGCGAGTGCTGTCTTTCTTCCTGTGCAAGTGTGTGTGCACCACCTCACACCCATAAACTGGCAACATCGGCAGTGACAGAATCTTATAAACTCAAAATCAAAACTCATCTTATAATTCCTCCAAATGAATCAAAAAACAGAATCTGTTATGTAAGTGCAGAAACGTTATCGAGAAAAACCTTGATTAGAGCATTTCAAGCTCGCACAAATAGAACTGTAGCACACAGACTTTCACACATGCATTTCTTGTGTGTGCAGATTTTACAAGAGGAAGTGGTGTAATGAAGACCAGTCCAGTGGCAGGTTGTGTTGATTAGCAAGTGTCACCAGCAGTGACCATCAAAGAGCAGAGGTCACAGGTCAAATCATGGCCAGAAGCACTAGGCCAACAGTCAGCCAGCGTGTCACTGGAAGAAAGCATTTTATCACAGCAAACTCCAAACTTGCACAAAATGGGAAGATAAGATGGAGGAAGACTGATAGTAAACGAAAAAAAAAAAAAAAATAATAATAATAATGAGTTCACTGTGCTATAGAGTGTTC